TATAGTACCGTCGTGAGCGTATAACAAACCTTGCAGACGACCTTCCTGTGTAAAAAGCAGACGACATTCTTTTAGCTGCCTGCGGCGAAATCAACGTCGTCTGCTTTGCGTGCCTTTCGAATGTGCGTCGGGTTCACTGCTTCAACATAGTTTCTCCGCAAACCGTAATTACACGTCTATGGCGCCCTTCTATTTACTCTTTATATACAGCTTACGGAGATCGCAGGTGCCCGTAAAGTGTACACTTGGCAAACTTCGCGGCCCGACGCGACCTGGCGGGAGACGTAGATAGCGTTTTATACAAAGGGGAACCGGCAGCTTTGCGGGGCTCACGCAGGCGCTAATTACGCTGAGATTGATTAGCTATAGAGTGCACAAAGGGCGGCCTCTGTATAGACCGACGCCTATGTCAATACCCTATCACCTCACCGCGCCCCCTATCCCCCCTCCTTTTTTACTTCTGTTCTTGCGGCGTTTGCTTTACATAGCTTATATTAGTTTTACGAGGCCTGCCTCCTTAGGCCTAACCGTCCACTAACTTCAAAGCTCCACCCGCAGACCGAGGCATTATTTCGCGAAAGTTCGCGGCATATCTTTCATCATTCTATACTGGGTATACATGTGCGTATAACACACCCATCCATCCTTAGATGTTGAGTAGATAAAAAGCGCGTGGACCGACGATGTTTTGTGCGAACGCGTGGGGACTTATTGCTTTTTTTTATTCTCTATAGCCGCAGTTTTGGAGACGCGACTCATACGCAGCGTCGCGGGGGCGATAGGCCCGCCGTGTCGCTGCTCTAATTGGCTACGAGGCGCGCTACGCTCTCGTGGCCTGCGCCCATTTATTAGCGCCTGACGAGGACGACCTAATTAACTCAATCCTGACGTCACGAGCCATCCGTACGCGCTTCGCTGCACATGCTTGGTACGCTGGAAGACCCTGCCCGTGTCCCTTACGCACAAACGCGCACATTTTTTCCTCATCAGCGCCACGCTACGGTGCACACAGGCACTGCGCGTTGGGCCGGGTTGCTTTGTGTATGCACATTGTCGTTGGTTGACATTGTGCAAAAATATCCATTAGGGGAAGGGGACATCCATTGAGGGAGAGGAGGCGCGCAGTTTTATCGCAGCGTCCCCTCCCACTGAGGTCTTTGCGATCAGAAAGCAAATCAAAGACGAGGTACTGAAAGGGTGGGCCCAGGAAGGAGAGGGGGGGGAGGGCTGCTGTGCGCACGCTTATGCGCTGTCATATCTTTATGTGGCGTAACGTGCTAATCTCTGCAGTCTTTACAACCCCTTCCAACACTATGTTTCTTATATGATTCTTAAAAGAGTGAAAAGAAGATAATAGTGAGCCCCGTAACTGTCTGCATCATAGTGCGGCACCTCAGCAGTGGCTCACGAGGGAGGGTGATAAGCAGGAATCAAAAGAGATAGGGATAGAGATGAGGGCACCCACATACAGAAATAAAAAGAAGATAAAGATAGCGACACGGTCGAAGGAGTCCGAGGACGGGGCACCACTCAGCGAGAGCTTCACTTTGGCCCCGTACCTCTCTCTTTTATAATAAATGTTTTTTTTTTCATCATCACGGCGTCAGGAGAACGCGGAGGGCGAAACAGTCGGCGGGAGCCACGCTTTCGTCGGAGATCGTGGGGGCACAGCCGGCCAGCACGAAATCCAGCGAGCGAGTCTTCCCACACTGTCACTGAGCCCCTGCTCATGGGCCATACACGCATTTACCGTGGTTTCCACATTTTTTGCACGTGACCTCACACGGGTACAGTGGAACTCAGCAGACCTCACAAACGCGTGCCTGAATAACTTGCATCCCAATCTGCAGCTTCGTCTTCCCTCAAGGATATCTCGAGCTGAGGAGACTCTTTTATGCCGCCTGTGGCTTGGAGTGGCCTTCACGAACGCATACTCTTATCTCATTGGAATGGCCAGCTCTTCTACATCCACTTACTGCAGCTGCGAAGAAATCATCGCGCACCTTCTGTGTGAGTACACCCATTCCAACGCGCAAAGACAAGAACTGACTGCAGCTCTGGATAGACTGGATGATCGGCCTTTGTCGGAACAGAGGATTCTGAGTCATAGGTCGAGCCCATCCTCAGCCCAGAAGACTTTGAAAGCTTTGCTGCGCTTTTTGCGGACAACTGGCCTCAGAGACAGACTTTAGTGTCTTATACTATTTGATGCTGCCTTTTCTCTGTCGCAATTTTTTGTTGTAATTTCTCTCTCTCTCTTCGCAACATTTATTTTTAACTTCTTTTATTCTCCTCACCCCTTTCTCCAGCACGGGGTAGCCAGCGGGTCTAAGAACTGGCTAACCTCCCGCTTCCGCTGAAGACCTTTCTTCTGCTTACTTTCTTCTTCTTTTCTTCTTCTTCTTCTTCTTCTTCTTCTTCGCTTCTTCTTCCTTTTCCTTCTTTCTTCTTCTTCTCCCACATCTTTTATAAAACGTATTTGAGCAGTTTGGCTTTAGCCATCGTTTGTTTGTTATCTTTGCTCGCTTACACCACACCATCTAGCCGGGTTACGTCGCATGTTCAATTAATCGACGCGTCCCTCTGTACGTACAAGCCTGCACACGAGTTAGCGACGTATACAAGCTGTGGAGAATGGGGGAGGGGGAGCGAACGCGCAGCCCTATGGGAAATCTGGCGTTGTGCAAGCTGTGTTACACGCGTTGCGAATATACGCGGCGTCGCCCGCGTATTCGTCACCGCCCACACTTCGGCCCCTTCTACCCTAACTAACCATGTGCTCGCTCCCTCCAGTGTGTGTGCGGCTACGCGTTGCGTCAGGGCCGCTCGGAACACGTCTGCGGTGGTAATTTATAGCATTCGGCGGGACAGTCCATTACTCGAACCATGCACGCATTTCCCCCTTTTCTTTCTTTCTTTCTTTCTGTCTTTTTTACACACTTACTCTCCTTTTGTTGTTCTTTCCTTCGTTGATTCATTCCCTCTTTCTTTCCGTCTTTCATACTTTCGTCCTTTCTATCTATCTATCTATCTATCTATCTATCTATCTATCTATCTATCTATCTATCTATCTATCTATCTATCTATCTATCTATCTATCTGTACTACTTCCTTTTCTTTCATCTCCTTTATTCATTTATTCTTTCTTACAATGAAGATCTCTGTCTACCATGTGAAGTTGTCGTCGTCGTCGTCGTCGTCGTCGTAGTAGTAGTAGTAGTAGTAGTAGTAGTAGTAGTAGTAGTGGGTATATGCGCCGCCATGGGTGGCGGCAAGGGAGTGCAAAAGGGGCGCTTGCACCCCCTCAAGCCACTCCAACAAGGATACCACTGCCCCCCCCCCCCACCCCCTCATCCACCCGATACGCAACACCGTGGATTTAACCCCCCGAGACGAAATCCGGCCTACGCCTCGTTTTCGCCGCGCAAAGTTCTGCAGGTTGTTTGTTCTTCTGGTCATACGCCGACGCAATCCGCCGTAACTTTGCCGCATGCGCCGCTTCGCGCTGAAAAAAATAAAATTACTTGTCTTCAGCAAACAGAGGTGGGTGTGTAAGCTCCTTCTGTGCAGTCGCAACAAATGCGTTAAGTTCGGTTAGGGCCTGTGTGGGAGTTGAGGTGCGGGAGATAAATCTCAGCTGTATACTATCTGTACGAGGTAGCTCAACCCGCAACGCGACTGAAGTATTGACGAAGACAGATCGTCAGACAGATCGAAGACGAACACGAGATAGGTGAATGTGTAACTGTGAACAACTCAAACATTCCTACTGCGTTTCCAAACATGCTTTTGACAGTCATCGTAACATTTTTGCAGCGGCTTAGCTCGGCTATGCCGAGATATACGTAGCCTCAGCTACGGATGGACGGACGGACAGACTGACGGGCAGATGTACTAGCGGTCGAGCTCACGCTTACTGGCGCAATGAGCGAATGAAAAGATTTTCGCGAGTTCGTTTATTTGTTTTACAAAACGTTAGTGAAAACCGGAAAATAATGAAACCAAAAAGTACAGGCGATGTTAAGTCTTCTGTTTTAGCCGTTCTATGACTTTGTAGAACTTGTGATATAGACCTGAACGTGAAGTGGACAAAGAGACGACTTGCCGCCAGCAGGGACCGAATTTTCACCCTTCGCGTTAGGCGCCCAATGCCCTCACAAGTTCAGTAACGGCGATGGTCGCCCCCTCGTCCGTTCTGTGGGGTATTTATGGGCATGTGAACCCTGGGAGTTTTAGTCGGCGCCGTAGCCATGGCGGCGAGTGTGGAATGCTTTTTTATGTAGTTATGTCTGACACCTTACAAATTTCACCATCGTCTAGGTCGACGCGAAAGTGGCATCCCCCTATACCGGTGGCTATGTGTTGCAGGTTGCTCTTGACCGTCAACGATATCGGGCAGTGCAAAAGCGCGGAGCGATGAAAGCACGTGGAATGATTTTTTTTTCTTCGCCAGCTGGCATCACGTAGCACGTGCTCTTTTAAGGAGTGGACAGTCGAACAATAAGCCATCACATTGAAGGCATCAAGTTTGCCAGAGGTTGATGGCTGCAGCACACTAAACGTCTTCCATAAGTTCGACCGTAATTATTTCAGCAAAACGTGACTTATCGTCGGATCTCGTTGTGCATTGTTGCCGCCTCAATATATATCATCATCATTAGCCACTAGTTCAAGATGGCTGGGCGCGATTCTAACGCCCTGGTTGGGCGTTCATCAAGTGCTCGAACTTTGGACGAATAGCTAATTCGTGAGACAGACAGACGGACGGATGGACGGATGGACGGATGGACGGACGGACGGACGGACGGACGGACAGACAGACAGACAGACAGACAGGCAGGCAGGCAGGCAGGCAGGCAGGCAGACAGACAGACAGACAGACAGACACCAAATTTCTGTGTTCAAGTATCCCAATAAAGACTATAAAGACTACCGTCTTCAAAAATGAAAAAGCTCACAGACGAAACAGAAAAGTGAAAGATTCTTCCTCCTCTTTGCAGGTCTCAAAGATGGCGGCACGCAGCTGAAGCTCATCATCGACTACGAAATGGCGGGGCAGGCTCTCTTCAAGCCTATGAGGTAAGGTCTTCTTTGTTTCGATGATGGATATTCGGCTCGAGCCATAGACGTGTTTTAGACTTTCTTTTTCTTTTTCATGCGTTAGCTGTTCACGTGCACCCAAACTGTATATTCAGCCACAGCTCGGCAATCTCACTCATTAGTCGACTCACTCCTACTCAGATCGAGCCGTAAGCTTTGGTAGTGAGCAAATGCCTAATTAAGGGTGACTTTATTTTTGGCCCTGCGGGATTTCGACAGGGTCGTTCCGTAGAAGTGGCGCGGTCTCTTAGAGCTCCGAGCTTGAGCGTATGCACGAAGGTACACTTGCTGGCATTGTATCCAAGAAAGTGGAGTTTCGCTTTAAAAAAAAGAACATACTAAATTAATTTGCGCTCACTCGTTCTTGCAACAAACTCTTCCTTTAATTGCTCCCATTAAAAAAGGGAAAATTAATGTGTGAGTTTAACAATATCTTCTCGAACACTTTGAGGAGAAGGGGAATTTCGCTCTTGTATATCCGAATGCCAGTACCATAAATAAGTCTAACCTCACAGAACTCCACGTTTTAAGGGGTGAAGCTGTTTACACAGGACGTAAAAAACCCTGGTGTGTACAAGTAAGTGCGAAAAAAAAAAATCCGTCATCATCGCGAACGGGTATCTATCTACTCGCCACGGTGTTCTATAGTGGCTAAGGCACTCGGCTGCTGACCTGTATGTCGTGGGGTCGAATTACGGCCGCGGTAGCCGAATTTCCGATGGAGGCGAAAATGCTCCAGGCCTGCGTGCATAGATGTATAGGGGACACATTAAAGAACCCCAGGTGGTTGAAATTTCTGGAGCCCTCCACTTACGGCGTCTCTCATAATCGTATTCCTAACAATCATTATTCCTATTACCATTTGCCGCGACTTTCAGGGTTCTTAAGGAAACGTTTAACACAAAGGCACTATAGTCGAGCTGTGCCGAAATATTTCCCGTGCTAAGCTGGTATTGTGAGGAAAGCGCTGTTTATTCTTTGCTACGCGTCATGGCGTGATATCTGGCCACTTGTAAGATGGCGGATTCTAACTTTACTTTCGAGGCGCCACTTTCCACGGAGTTATTTCTTTCAATTACTCCATCGTTTCGCCGGCTTTTTTTTTTTGGGGGGGGGGGGGGGGGGGGGGGCCATTTTTTGTTCGAAATCCCTCTTTGCGAGGCCTCGTGATGCCAAGCACCTGAAAAAGGGGTGCCAAAACTCGTGCGTGTGGGCGGCAGTTTAGACTCGCTTGATGACAGGAAGCCGCCGAGTTTCGACCAGAACAACAACGACAAAAAATACGGCTTTGAGACTTTTTGCGTCACGTTTCCTTTTTGAGATCCAGACGTCAAAAAAAGGAGAAAAAAAAAGAAGAAAGGAGTTGCTGTAAACACTTCTAGAGACGGCGTGCGCCTAGTAGTTTTTTTCTTTTCTTCTTCTTCTTTTCCGGTCGTAAACTTCGGAAACTTGCCTTTCTGTACTTGATGCACGTTTCTTTCCTTTTTCTTTTGCCGAAAAAAAGTCTTTGCGTAGTATTGAGGAGCCGCCCTCACGAAAGACTTCTTGGCACATTCCCGCAACTCCGACTGGAATTGATTTTTTTAAAACTTGGTCTTTCTTCGGACCGTAACTCCCAGACGACGTGTCTTGCGCCTTTTAACACAGGATTGAAGAGACTAAATGTCTTCAAATAGGGAGGTGTCGCCGAAGCAGACGTTTATGGTCATCGAGAAACACAGGAGAAATGGCGACACCATCGCCCGTCTCACGGCTAAAACGGCCAACGTGACGCGACTTTTCACACGAGTCGCGTCCCGGAGGGCAGGCATGAGAGAGGAGAGCCTGATCAGGCTCATACAATTCTTCATCATCAGTCACGTCGCGTATGTTGCATCCTACCACAGATGGCTGCAACACGAATGCAACAAAATCAACGCCATCATCAGAAGAGCGTACAAGGCGGCGCTGGGCCTGTTCGAGGTCACGAGCACGACCCGCCTCTTACAACTAGGTATACACAACACGCACGAAGACATAGCCGAAGCGCAATGAACCCGTCAACTGGAGAGGCTGTCCACGACCAAAGCCGGTAGGAAGATACTGGGAGGATCCGGGAACAGGATGCCTGAGCGAAGCAGAGATGAAGCTCCCCGTTGCCCCGCCGCGGTGGTCTAGTGGCTAAGGTAGTCGGCTGCTGACCCGCAGGGCGCGGGTTCGAATCCCGGCTGCGGCGGCTGCATTTCTGATGGAGGCGGAAATGTTGTAGGCCCGTGTGCTCAGATTTGGGTGCACGTTAAAGAACCCCAGGTGGTCTAAATTTCCGGAGCCCTCCACTACGGCGTCTCTCATAATCATATAGTGGTTTTGGGACGTTAAACCCCACATATCAATCAATGAAGCTCCCCATTCCCGAAGAGGTCCGACGCCAAATTAGAACCGACCCCATTCCGAAGAACATGAATCCCGAGTACAACAAGGGAAGAAGGGTGGCGACGGCCAGGGCCATCATTGACCTGCACGCCAAGGACGCGCACGCGAGGTGCGCGGACGTGGCGCAATACCAACAAAACGCATTCGCAGCGGTCGTCATCGACGCGTCCACCAGCGCAACAAGGACGGCAGCGAGCATGAAAAATTCCAGAGCTGAACTAGTGTAGGAGGTGGCCATAGCCCTGGTCATCGCCGACACAACCTGCCACATGGTGCTGAGTGACTCTAGACAGGCGGTGCGAAACTTCACCAAAGGCCAAATCTGTAGATAGGCCGAGCGTATATTGCGTGCGGCCAAACTTCAAGACATAAAAATAAGAATTAAGTGGTTCCCGGCGCGTCGCCGGAACGCAATGACAACCACAACCAGACGGCTCACGCAGCGGCGCGAGCGCTGACCAAGGGCGCCCTGGCGACAGACCGTCCAACCTGGTACGAAGCCAAGGACCGCATGACGGACTACCACGACATCACGAAAACCTTCCGCATGGCTTGCAGGACTTTCCCATTCCCGCACCAGCGGCTGGGTCGAGCGGAGGCGGTACTACTGAGACAGCTCCAGACCGGATCACTACCGAGTCCGGCACTGATGCAACGCATGTACCCCGAGACATACCCGGCTGACAAGTGCGAGGTCTTCCGGAGGGAGACGGCAGATCACACGCACATCTTGTAAGGCTGCATCAAGCACCTAGAGGAAGCAAGATCAAGAACAATCCCCGTCGGCGGCTCGATGTGGCCGCGAAGAGCTACGACCAGGAAGGGCAGCTCTGTGCCATCCAGCAGGTCCTCGGGGCGCTCGAAAGACAAGGACTCAGCGAGCCGGCAACGGCGAGCGGAGACTTTCGCCGAGTAACGGCAACACCGAGGACGACGTATACGCCCCCGTCCGGACTCGCGAGTGCCCAACTGCAGGCACAAATAAAGTTTATCCTATCCAATCCAATCTACAAGTGGTCTATAGGCTTCTTGAAGTCAACATTTTCTGCCTTGAACAAGGCATGCCCATTAACCGAAACGTCGGGGTCAGCTACACCCCCGATCTTCTGAATTCGGCAGAGGCGTGTGTATAAATTTTTCCTGAAAAAAAGAAAGGGTGGGTGGTGGTGGGGGGGATGGGGTGGGGGGGGGGCGTGGTTTTGGGTTTACAACTTTCAAGTTACTTTGCTCAAAATGTGAATGTTCGTCGCCGCAGGGTTTTTTTCCAGTAGTGTGCAGCACGTTTAGAACAAAATGCAGCCGGCAAGGTGTGTTAGGCTCGTATACGTAGAACTTTTGTTGCGGGTGAAAGGGGGGGGGGGGCTTCTTTAATCTGTAGGGGGTGGCCGGGCAGGCAGGTGGTCATTTTGCGCTTAGTATGCCACAGCGAAACCATACTACGGGGGGGGGGGGGGGGGGGGAGGGGTTCGATGTGCCACACCGATGTGCCACACCTGGATATGCCTCGGAGATGTGTAGAGTGGTTGAAGCGTTGTGTATTTGGATAGGAGTATAGAATAATGTCTTGTGTCTCATTCTGGTACCCATACAACTTCAGAAGTCCGGAGCAGAGATGCGAACGGCGGAAAAAAAAACGATAAAATTGCGGAAATAAGATGTTTTTCTTCTTCGTTTTTTTTTTTTTTGGCACAGTTGAAAAAATTTGCCAAAATTTGCGCGCGCAAAACGTACAGAAATATGGCTTCGGTAATACCCAGCGTTGAACTCGAAACCAAAACGTCGCACGTGATACCAAAACACCAAACGACGGCTGACCAATCCCCATCGACATCACTTGAAGTCAGCTTTGTTGTTTGGGTCTGGTGATGTTGGAAGCGGTTTTCGATGCTTTTCGTACCCGTTATTGTTCAGTTTTAGGGGCAAAACTCCTTACGCCGTTGTCTGTTCGTCCCGTGTTTTTAGTAAGTAGCCACCTCTCGTTTAGTCCTTAGAATGTCCGCTGGATGGCGGGACTTGTATATGATGAATGAATGATGATGAAAAGATGTGATAATGACAGTACTTGGAGTTTTCATTAGATGGACGGACGGACAGACAGACAGACGTAAAGACAGACATACATATGGACGTACAGACGGACGTATGGATGGTCGCACGGGCGCACTGGTGGACGCTTTGCCCCACTCATCGTTATTCCTCCCTGGATATGCTGTGATTTTTTTTTTTACTTTCCCTCGTACATTTCTTCGACCTGTGACGAAAGCCCGCTTGTAAAGCCGTGTGCAAGCAGATTCTGCAATGGTTGGGTCAATTCACGATGTGCGCACGCACTGCACGATTGGGGACACCGTTGGCGGGAAACGGGGACTCGCTTTCAGTAAGCACTGCAACAGCAGTTAGACTTTTGCCAACGGGACATCTTAACATGATGAAGAAAGCTACAGATGAAGCCGGTGAGACCGACTCTGAATAAGAGCTTTGAACTTCATCTTTTTATCATTTCCATCAGTATTTCCACAGTCGAAGCCACGTCGAAATTGACATTTCTGGGTTTTTATTCTGACTGC